ACCTAGCCGCCTTACTCATTTTATTTGTATTTAAATTGAAAAGGGAGTATTAAGGTTTATTAGTACTGATGGTTCAGCATGCTATTAAGTAGCATCCATTTTTCATCTAGTTTATAGCAGCGGTCTGTTGGGGTCTTTAACAGCTGGGTCGAACGTCCCCTGTTCCTGACCTACTGTGTTCCTGCTGCTCAACATCAAGCAGTTCATGAAAGGGGATTTTTATGGTTTACTGGTTTTGAACCAGGGCAACAAAGATCCAGTTCTTCCACATGTGATCTAAATTCATTAACTTCCAAGGGAGGAGAAGGAGAATTTGGGATGATCAGAGAGTGGGTTTTAACTGTAACTTCTCAGTCTGGCAGTTTGTCTCTAAGAGTACTAAGTAAGCATACAGCCTCACATTCTGATGTGAAGTCACGAGATAAAGCGAAATAGGAACCTTGAAGTATCAAGAGGCTAGAATTTGTCTATTGTCGCTTAGGAAGTAGGAAATAAACGTCAAGAAGCTTGTTCTGTTAGGAAAAAATGTGTCTATGGAAAAAAAGTATAATATGATGACAGTCATTGATAATGAACAGAGTGCTGGCAGTGGCTGGCCACTGCATAAGAAATGCTTGCATGTGATGTTTTCTCTGCAATTTTGCTAAGCGTACTGTTGCGAGTTATGTTTGCTACTTGTTGATATTCAGTAGTTTTGTAAGTATTTTTGTATTTCCGTGCCCTGCGGTGAGGAAGTGAAGTAGAGGGGGAAAGGAAATCTGAAATTGTTGTCCACCATCAAGACCCTGCTTTGTAAAATTTAGGGAAGCTGATTAATGCTCGTTTTCAAGAAACTGTTCTGTTCTGCGTTTATTTATGAGTGCACATAAATAATGAAGGTTTTTCTGGCTTAACAATTTCTGCAAAGTAATTTTAATTTGAAACGTTATTTGCTGAAGGAAGCAAAAAAGTACTCACTTTTGATACTCTCTTGACTCTGTAGATTACTTCTTTTGTACAGACCATGATTAAATCAGGTGAGGTGATATTTAAAAACGAAAAATGAAAGAAAGAAGGAAGCAAAAAAGTACTCACTTTTGATAGTCTCTTGACACTGTAGATTACTTCTTTTGTACAGCCCATGATTAAATCAGGTGAGATGATATTTAAAAACTAAAAATGAAAGAAACAAGCTGTATCTTTGGAGGAGGATTCATCTTATTTTTCCCCATTTAATCAGTATTCTGTATGTTAACACCAGCCTAACCATGTGTGGTGGGTTGACCTTGGGCTAAGGGCCAAACTCCCACCGGCTGCTTGCTCACCCCCTCTCCTCAACAGAGCAGAAGGAGAAAATAAGATGAAAAAGCTCATGGGCCGAGGTAAATACATGCAAACTGCTTCCCAGTTACTGTCACAGGTAAAACAGACTTGACTTGGGAAAAACCAGTTTAATTTATTGCCAATTCAAATAGATTTGGGTAGTGGGACACAAAGACGAAGATGAAAACACCTCCTCCTCTCCTCCCCTTCCCAGGCTCAGCTGCGCTTCCTCGCTCCTGACTCCCTGACCCCCAACCCTGAGCGGGGTGCAGGGGTTGGGGAACGGGGGGGCTGTGGTCAGTCCATAACTGCCCCTCTCTACGGCACCCTCCTCCTCACACTTTGCCCCTGCTTCTGCGTGGGTCCTCCACAGGCTGCAGTTCCTTCAAGGAATATCCACCTGCTACAGCATGGGGTCCTCTGAGGGCTGCGGGGGGGGTGCCTGATCTGCGGAGTG